TCGCGGTCCCCAGCACATGCTCTGCTCCAGCCTGCAGATGAATGGAAATGAAGAGGGCTCCACACCCCTTTGATCTCTCCCAGGAGACCTGCCAGGAGCAGTTGGAGCTGGAAAAACCCCATGGAGGGAAGGATCCAGCCTTCCCAGTGGTGCTCTCAGCTGGCTGGTCCTGGTTAAAGGGGTGGGACCTTCGGAGTTAGTCTCAGCTGGGGACAAACTGGTGGTCCCCACAGTAGCCACGGTGTGGTCACCGGTACCCGGCTCACTCACAGCATCCTTCATCCCACCCCACCATAAAGGAACGTCTGCATAGCATCAAGTGGTTTCTTTTTATTTAAAACCGCATTAAAAAAAATAAGATTTTTGAATTCCCCTGTACAAGGTCTCGGCTGGAGACAAACCGTTGGTCCCCACAGGAGCCATAGCGCGGTCACCCGTAGCCGGCACGCTCACAGCATCCTTCATCCCGCCCCACCAGAAAGGAATGTCTGCATCACATTAAGTGGTTACTTTTTATTTAAAATCGCATTAAAAAAATAAGATTTCTGAATTCTCCTGTACAATATTTACAAAAATCCCGCTGACGATTCCGCACCTTCGCCAAACCGCCCACAGAAACACTACGGGCCCGGGGACGGACACGGGACGGACACGGAGGGAAGACTCGAATGGAAAACTGACCGATCAGCGGCTGTAGAAGCAAGGAGCGGGTTAGAAACCCACAGGAATTATAAATAAATAAATAAGTTATCCTACAGGCTAGGACTCTTTAAAAAACAAACACAAATTCATGAAAATAAATTAAAAACAAGACCTGGAACAAAGAAGAACAAAAGGTCACACGTGACCACTATTAACAACGGTAACTCGAGCTTTGCTCCCAGAGAACTTTGTGCACATTCACAGCTCTGTTGGTTTGCATCGTTTGTGCATTCGTGAGGGCACAAGAAGCAAAGAAGCCCAGAAAACCCACGCGAGATGGAGGCACGAGAGGCGAGGCATCGTCCCCTTGGCTCCCAAGTGTCTTCTACCCTGTTCTCTTTTTCAAAGGGAAAAGGAACTGTAGCCTTGGAGAAGCAGTAGGGTAGGAAAATTCAAGTATTTCCTCCAGCACAGCCCAGATCACAACCCAAGGCGCTCGAGCACGGCGACAGCGGAGAAGAGACGGTCACGGCGCCGCGGTACCTGCCCACCCCCACCCCACCCCCCAGTCAGTTTTCCCCCGTTGAAGCTTTTCTTGCAGTAACGTCTCCGATCCTCTTGCGGTCTCCAATTCAGCAGGTCGGGAAGACACTAGGGAGCCTCAAAAAACAGAACCCAAACAGAAACGACCAAAAAAATTTACTGTTAAGACATCAAATGAGTTGAGGTCATTCAGATGGGTATCCAGGATAGCTGGGTTGCACAGCGACCACCAACGCCTGCAAGATCAGTTCTCCAGCCCAGCTCCAGGACACGATGGGCGTGTTCCCATCTGATGATCCCTCCTCGGTGGTACAGCCACAAGCAAAAAGTGGTGGTCTTTGCTTCCTGTGGCCAGGAGATGTGGGGAGCTGTTATGTGCCAGGCTCCTGGATGAAACTGTGCAGGTGGGCCTCTGTGGTCTACTGAGGCAGATGAACGCCTTGCAGCCAAGGATGGTTGAAAATGTCTTCCACGGACGGCCGATCCAAGGCGCGCCAGGACAAGCACCACCTGATGAGGTGCTGGCACTCTGGGGAGAGAAACCAGAAACCACCGGTCAGTTGGAGAAGGCTCCTGCCCACCTTGTACCACTGTCCGCATGGCCCAGGCCGAGCTGGGTGTGCTCAGAGCTGCACCCAAACCTCCCCACTCATTATTTTGCAGGAGAGCAGCATGGCACGACACGTGCCACCTCCTCCAGCTAACGACGGGAGATCAAGCTCCTCCATAGCTGTAAGAGCGGGATGCTCCTGTGCCTGGTGCCATCTCCCAAAACCCGCTATCTCCCGCCACCACAAAGCCGAGTACCCACCTGGAGAGATCCGCTGCCGGAAGACAAGCCGGGCCCGAACGATGTCCTTCTCCTGCTCAAAGGGGACATCCCCGCAGACCATGACGTAGAGCAGGATGCCCAGGGACCAGACTGCTGCCGGACGCCCATAGTAGCGGTGGTAGCAGAACCACTCCGGCGGGCTGTACGCCTGTGTTCCTATGGGATACACGCAGGGCGCTTCAGGCAGATGCTCACTAGTCCCGGGGCCTCACCTGAGCATTCCTGGGGTTGCAGGGGCTGCACTGGTGGCCGGGGACACACACACACACACACAACGTGACCCACCACCCCCTCTCCAGCACGTGACTCTTGTTTACAAACTTTGGGTTGCAAAATGAAGCCGCCGGTGCCGGAAGAGGGCAGCACGGGCCCGGGGAAGGCCCGACCGTTACATGCAAAAAAAAAAAACACCCACGGGTGGGTAAAAACCACGCCTTTCCCTGCCCTGCCTTGGCCAAAAAAATAAAAAAAAAATAAGCCAAGGCAAACGAGGGGAGCGGAGCAGCCCGAGCCCTTCCGCGCCTGCAAACCAGACCAGCCAGTGCACGGGCTTTGCACACACCCCCCACCCCGTGCTACCCCCACGGGTGTCTGTTTTCTGGGAGCCGGGCTGGCTCCCCCCAGCCCAGGGCAGGTTGGGTGGCAGAGGCTGTCGGCAGGGCCAGCAGCCGGCTCCCGTTTCACAACACCCGCCTCGCGCCAAAAAGCAACTTGGCAGCCGGTTGAATAATTAATTCCACCCCCCAGCAAACGGGGGAACCTCTGGTGCCCAGGCAGACCGGGCTGTGCAACGCGTGGTACAGGGAGCATCCCCCTGGGTGTGGGCTTACCGGCAAATTGGGTGTAGACGGTCTCCTTGAGGAACGTGCCAACACCAAAGTCGATGAGCTTCAGCTCACCGGTGTCGAGGTTGACGATGATGTTTTCGTCCTTGATATCCCGGTGCAGGACACCGCAGTTATGGCAGTGCCACACGGCCTCCAGCACCTGGCGGAAAAGCCCCCGCGCCACATCCTCCGACAGGCACCCTCGCTCCGCGATGAAGTCAAAGAGATCCTGGCATGGCTCCGGACGTTCCATTACCAGCACGAAGCTGTCCGGGAGCTCAAACCAGTCCAGGAGCTGGATGACACCGTGGAAGCCGGAGCCCACCTTGTTCAGGAGCACTATCTCCATGGGCGCACGGGTGCCGTCGGGCTGCGGGAGGACCACGATGCTGTCAGGGGGGCTGATGCTGCGCTGGGGGTCTAGTACCCCCTGGGCCTGGGATGCTCTGGTGCCTGGCATCACCCCACCCAAGGGATGCTCCGGTGCTCCCCTATCCAACCCCACCAGTACTGGGCAACCCTCCGGTCCGGGATGCTCCATGTCCCCCGGTGACCCCATGCCCACACCCTCTGTGCCGGCCCGGTTTCTGTCCTCCCGGGCCTCGGCTTATCCCCGTCCGTG